TTGAAGTGAACAATGGCAGAGTGAACACCATGATGCTCCTGGTAGTAATGGAGCATACTGATTACAGCATTGGCTCCCTTTCCAGTCAAGAAAGCTTCATCAACAAGAAAGTTGACTTGATGTGGAATTGCCTCGCAGCAGACTCCGAATATACCACACTTACATGGAGTGAGGAAGTATATTGGGCCTGGTTGTAATGGATTTCATAAAATGTGGACCTAAAGATAAGTGATAATAATACACAATGTAAACGCAGTATGTTAATTGTTACCTGCTGAGCATAGTCAAAATTGTAGTGAGCCATGATGTCCAACTCCGCCAATGGTCTGCTTAATGGTAGACAAGAAAGTCCTGTGACTGGGTTGGTAAAGAGTCCCTTTAGAAGAGTGGCAGCTTCTTTAGTACCAACCTGTAGTACTCCTCACTAAATCAATGTGTTGATTTGCCTTTTGTGAAGCCTCATAATTATTGTTATTGTTACAAGAAATTATTTATATTACATGTCCTTACAGTAGTCTGTCTCTCTATTGGTAGGTTAGTTATCCTCATGATGGCTGCACTGTTCTGTTGGCAAACCCAACACAGGTCCAACATGGGCTTTATGACACGAAAGTCAGGCACATGCTTTCTCCAGTATGAAAGAAACCAATTGTAAGTACAAACCTCTCCTGTTACTGCTCTCACATAGTCCTTGTACACCCCCATCCTTGTCGTACTTGATGGCAGTAAATGGGTCTCAGCAAAATGTTTAACACCAGGAATACACCCAGGTAGCATTATAGCATGCATCTCTGCATAGCTTTTTATGAACTTGACAATCTCTTACTGTCAGCAGAAAGTGCATGCCTGGGCGTTTTTCCAGTGTTCCCATGTACTCTAAAATACGGGTCAAACTAGCTACTATAAAAGTGAGGTATATCTCAGTCTCTTTTCCCTCATGCCATGAATAAACATGAAAGTGTCTTTACACACCTTTGCAGTACCGTTTCATTTAATTATATTATAAGAATGTGACTGACCTTCATTCCCCCATGAGTGAATTTAGTGAAGTTCCTCTGTCTCTCTCTAATGTTAATTTTCTTGTTGCTGGTACCCTCATCACAGTGTGTTCCAGCCATTATCTGTCCCATCAAAACCATGTCTAACTCATGGGAAGACAGCTCCAACAAGCTGGTTCTGGTTGCTCTGAAGTAAGATGGTTCAAACTTTCTCCAGCAGCTTTCAGAGCAACCACAAGCAGCCTAAAGGAAGTCTTTCACTTTCCTCTTCTCCCTTATGTCCACCTCTCTCTAAACCTGAACAGGTACCTGTACTGGTTCCTCAATCCCTCTCACTCCTGCAGTCTGCATGCCTTCAGGATCCTCAAGACCACTGCCATCTCCATGTCTCCTGGTAAGTCATCACTCATAACAGTCAATCCACATATCTTAAGCTCTTCAATAATTTGTAGCTCACCACTGTCATCAATGCCCTTGTTACCGCTGCTGCTTTCATCTTCCATCACTTTGTGTATTGTTTTTTATAATAATAAAGTTTAATGTTTAATGCTAGAATGCATGTAGTATTACTGTCACTATTGTTCTACTGTTATCATAATTAACAATGTTATTTTAGGAAAGTAGTTGGATTGTAGTGCTAATTAGGTGTTAAGTATGTAAGTATTCATTGTGTGGTTAATGGCTTTCATAGCTTCTGTGTGGTTAATGGCTTTCATAGCTTCTTACCTGACTCCTCGTCGTCGAAATAGTCATGGAGCATCTCAAGCCGCACCCCGCTTGTGATGCTTAACTTATGACGTTCCTCCCTATTCAATAAGAGAGCAATTTGCCTTGTTTCTTCAATCAAGACACAGTACCCACTTTTAATATTTGCTTGTAACCATGGTTAGTCGCTAGGATACCAATCGTCACCATGACACCCCATTTACCTCCGTTTCATGAGCCGTGTGACGTGCTCTGTGTACAGTAATGGCTAGAGGATCTAGTAGCTTCTTTCTCTGGAACTACAAGGAGTATAGCGGCATCTTTGTCATCAAATGATAGCTTATTGTCTGTAAAATCAGCTTGTGCAAAAAGCCTTTTTTCGACCAACAACACACAAGTTGACTTATTATCACCATAGACCTTTTCCGCGATAAATATTCATGAAAAATTGTTCTAAATAAAGAGTGGATGAGTCTTCAAAGCATCATAATGATGAAAACCACACCTACTAGTGGGATAGATACCATGTGCAGTGATTATTATAAGGCTCTCGATCCTATTGCAAAGGCTAGATATGCTGATAAGCTCAAATATCTGAACCTTAAACGAGAAGATGCGGTATAAAAGGCGGTGCCCTGGGCATGGTGGCTTCCGTTTTTTTCACATGTAAAAATGTCTGCTCTAGATGATGTTGTTTCTTCAAGGAAAAACGCAGGCAGAGAGGGGTTTTGGTACCATATTGAGTTAAATTTTACTCTCAAAGAAGACAAGGACCAGTTCAAGTTAGGCTTGATTGAGTTAAGGGGTCTTTAGGCACTAAAAGAAGGCGCTGGAAATGCTGTCTCTCTTGCTGATTTAGTCGGGATTTAGAGGCTCTTCACATGATGCTAGTTATACTCAATACTTTAGGTAGTTATAATGTGTTTGAAATTAGTGTTAATATAAAATAAGGTATTGGTGATGGGGGACGAAGAGCAGCCATTTTGTGCATAGATATAGGATTGGCTATTGAGACGCTTATGTTGATGATGGTGTCGTATGCTTGACCGAAGGGTGATCAATTACAGTCAGGTATTATTTATTATTATTTTATTATAATAATTATTAAAATTATAATTATTTATATTATTACTATTATTATTATAGTATAAGTCATGTGATTTGTGCTGAATTTCAGTTCAATGATAGTTGAGTCCTGTAATCATAACTCAAGTTTATTATGTAGTAGGTACAGAAGTAAGTATAATGTGAATGTAAAGTAATCATACATTAATTGGCATTAATACTTTTTAGGCTCGTACTAGCATATACTTGTGCTGGTATATTTTGATTGGCATTACTTGGTACAATTGGGAAGATGTACACAACTACAGCAAGCTTCTCACCATCCCCATATCCATTCAACTCTGTTATTGTATATGCTTTCATAATTTGGAATAATATAATTTTTGTATTTACTACTTCCAGTGGATCGTTGAATGTTTCAACTGCTACCAGTACTAGGATCTCATTGAGGACCAAGTGGGGGTCTTTTGCTGTAACCACTTCTACTTGATGAGGGTGGCTGATAATTGGTAGTCGGCAAGGCCTTCTGGTCTCAGTGGTGGCAGTTCCTGGGCTGGTTTTTTATGTAGTAATGAGGGCTATTCCTTTGCCACTATCACTTATAACCTGCCTGATAGCATTATTAACCATGTTTGTTTGGCTGTTGACAGATTTTCAGAATGTACAATATAAATATTTGATAATAATGTAAAAAACTATTACTTCAAGTCAATTATACCATTTTTCTTCTTGCCATGCTTTTTACCTGTGCTTGTAGGTTAACTCTCTCGCCTTTACTAATTTTAATGTTTTAATAATACGTTTTGCTAGTGATTTAGCCATGGTAAGAACAGTGTGGGGAGCCATTTTGTTATTTTCAAATGTGGCCGCCATATTGTGCCCAGGGCACCTCCTTTTATATGGTGACGGGCGGACGCGATTCTATGATGTTGCGTGGATAGTTTTATAGTGTACCTTCTTCTTTAAGGACACAGATGATCCTTATTGTAATGATGATAAGTTTGTAGATTACATGAGAATGTGGCCTGCAATAGAATTTGGCCACATATTTTGTTATTATATTGACAAGCCAGGACTCTACACTAGAAAGCTGTTGCTGCAGTGGAAAAGTCTTGATGGTTATAATTACTTTCAAAGCGGCCATGTGAGACATATATTGATATGGGAGATTGATTCTACATGTAGCATTTCAAAAGCAAAGGTAAATCCTAGCCAAAGCTCTTCTGAGAAGGCCCACATTTGCTGGGTGGCTGCAAGGATAACGAGAGACATCATATTTTGTCACTGTACCTGTATGGCAGGGTAAGTTTATGGATGGGTAAGTTTTATAGCATAGTTTGTGCATTATAAACATAAATTGTAATCTATGAGGGCCAAAATAATATGGATGATTTAAAAGAAATCATTGCATTTACTGCAACTGCCACACGTCTTTCTCATAGAGCATTATTTGAACATTTTGTGAGTTAGCAGTATCTTGGAAGTTTTCAACTGTATCCATAAAAATTGGCAGAAGGATGTTGTCACAGTGCTGCAATTTTATTCAAGATTGAAAGTGCTTTAAAGAATGGATACACCGGAAGCACTTCTACAGTTTGCCAATGGAATCAAGCTTTTTCTAAAAAGGTATGGTACTTCATATGTGTGCATGCAGGAGGTCTAAATTGGTATAAATTTTAGCATGAACCATCAATGATTTGCAACATTGATTTCTCAAAACCATCAGTAAGCAGAGTGACAGAGGGAAAATGACCTAAGTACAAGAAGAAAGAAGAGGAAAATTGAAGAGCCCACTGAAAAAGAAAAAAGAAACTTTATTACAACTCTCAGTGACATATATCCTGACTCTGCAGTTTTGATGGCATTCATGCCAGTTCGACAACCATTAGCACCTAATTATACTGCAGCCATATGTTCTCTACCACGTATCATTACATCTTTTCATCACCCAAAGTATCAAGAATACTCCCTGATGTCAGAGTGTGATCACATTTTCAAAAATGTCTTTAAGATAACTGAAGATGAGTCAAAGTATTTGGCAGAAAGCAGTAAGCTCCAGTCACAGTCATTTGTTTGGTGGGAGCATAGAAAAGGACACCTGACCACGTCAAAATTCTCAGCAATATGTCACACAAAAATTGAAAACCCTCTAAGTCACTAATTTCTGACATTTTAAGCAGTAAAAAGTCACCTAAAGTTCCAGCACTTACCTGGGGAATCGATAATGAAAACATGGCACGAGAAGCATATAAAGAGATCACTTCACTTGACCATAAAGATTTTGTTGTAGCCTGTACTGGCTTACACGTCAGTGTTAGCTCAGCTCATCTGGGTGCATCTCCAGATGGGCTTACTTCCTGCAGTTGTTGTGGCAAGGGTATTGTGAAGATAAAGTGCCCATACAGTGTACAAACTAGTCTGCCAGCATCTGCACCGTACATTTTCGAAAACATGCTATCTAAAACACACTAATAGTATTACCAAGTACAAGGTCAAATGGGAATTATGGAGTGTTGTTATTGTGACTTTGTAGTTTGGACCACCATCGATATTTTTATAGAGAGGATTCCCTTTGACAAAGAATTCTTTGATTCTATTAAAACAAAGCTTGATTCCTTTTTCCTGAAAGTGATTCTACCAAGAGTTCTAGTTGGTGAAAAGAAACCTAGGGAAACTCACATCAGTAAGCAAGGTATATACTGTTACTGTCGAACAGGAGAATTTGGTGCAATGATCGAGTGTGACAACCCATCATGCAAATTTGGTTGGATTCATTTCGGTTGCGTGGGTTTGGTTGAAGAACCAACAGGATCATGGTTTTGTCAAGATTGCATTTAGAAGTTATTACAAAATAATTAAAATGGAACTGTACTTTTACACAAATTAACTAATGATGCGCACACAGTCAGTATTTTATCAATGTTGCACACACCATTTGATTCATCTTCATGCTTTAACATATTAACACGAATCCTTCCTTGTAAAATAGTATATTTATTCTTGAGCAATCCAATTACTCGTTCTACATGTATTCTCACTTGAGACAATTTCTTGGACATTTCAACATCTCTTTGAGGGAGTTGCTTCTTACCCCTAGTGAAAGCAGGAATTTTAAGTACAGCACCATAAACACTAATGTCATCTCTTATTGTAAAACCTCCATCTGCAAGTACCACATCACCAGTTTGTAATAATTATAAAAAAACCACATTCTTGAGTCAGTTTTTTGTCTGATACTCGACCTCCCCAACATTGACACAAAAAGGAATTTGTGCTAAATGGTGTGATTGAGACGAAAAACTTGGCAGTATTATGACTCTTGTAGTTAGAATATGTTTTATATCGAGCATCATACTTCTTAGGTATCTCAATAAAAATCTCCGAGCAATCAATTATACTTATACATAATGGATATAATTCCTTAAAAACCATTGGCATATTTTGCTGACAAAGCTCACGTGATGGCAATTTAATAAGAAATTTAACACGAACATAGAGTAAATCTATCCATTTGTTGAATATTCTTGATGCAGAAGTGCTTGATATGAAAAATCTTACAGCTAAATCTTCAATTCGCAATCCTAGTCGAAAGCAACAAAGAGTAAGCAATAATTCATCTTCCAGAGACAGAGATATTGACTTGCCAGGATGTGGTGCAATAAAGTTATAAAGGTGGTAAAATATTTTCCATGATGGTAAACCTGTAAAAATTTTTGCATGCTTATCATTTGCTCCAAGTAGCTGTACTGAAAATGTAGCCTTAAACAACTTCTCTTCCAAAAGATTAATCCTACTTATCAATTTCTGCATCTTTGAGGTACATTGTGATGTACAAATACTCTTCAACTGGTTCAGATATTCTCTGCCTATATGTTCCATCTTCATGTTGCCCATCCTCTTCAAGCTCCTGCTGAACATGGCTGCTTTCATCCAGAGCTATCTCTTTATGCTGCCATTCACTAGTCTCGCATAGCCAGACCACACCCTCCGTGCTGGATGGCATACCCTCTGTGCTGGAGGGTACACCCTCGTCAGAGGGCGTGGTCTGGCTATGCAAGATTAACCATTCACAAGCTCCTTGCGACTCATTATCATGACTTTCCTGTTCAGCAACAGGCTCTTCTACATCGCTCTCAATTGGCTCTTCATCACTTTCAATAGTCTCTATCAGCTCTTCAACACTCTCAATTAGCTCTTCATCCATTTCTTGCTCATCACTCAACATTCTTTTGGCTTTCCTTTCATTATATGCCTGCACAATCATCTCTATTTCTTCTGCCAGCTTCCTACTATTCTCTTTCTCTTCAAATTCCTTCAATAGAGCATCAGTTTCCTGCTGCATTTTATCTACTACTTGATCAAGCTCGGCCTTGGATGTTAAAGGTACTTCAGCTCCAATATTATGGCAGGGTGAGACTACTTCAATACCAGCTGCATCGCAATTTTGATGGCGATTCAACAACCTTCTTGACTTTTTCTTTTGCTTGCCCTTCTTGTAAACTTCTGAAAAAATTGTTGGGACGTAGTCCAGATGATCAGGATGTAAATGAGGCTTGCCTATTATGTTTTATAAAATGACAATCATCAACAGGCATAACCTACATACCTTCAACAAAATGTTCATTGCATATCCGTGTGTAGAGCCTAGGTTTCTATTTAGCACAATTCACAGCCATAGTCCACCTTTTCAGTCAAGCCTTATCTTTCAAAGGAAAGCTAAAGAACCTTAACCCTGCTTTTTTTCAACGGAATTATGACATCCAGCAACACAACAGTTATTAACCATTATAAAACTTGAAGAAAAAGCAAAGTACAGTTCAGAAAAAGAACAGAGAACAGTCAGTCTGTATGGCTGATTCGCTTTCTATCCCACAAGTAGGTGTGGTTTTCATCATCATGATGCTTTGATGGCTCACATCCGCTCTTTATTTAGAACAATTTATCATGAATAATTTATCGTGTGAAAGGTAATGTGCCTCACGGTACCTTTTGTCAATTAAGGTCACATAAATTTTAATCATTTGGCTAATCCAGAACTTCATATTATTATTAATGGACAGCCTATACTAAATCAAATAATGTCTGTCGTAGCCTAATTGATGTAAATAAAATAAAAGCAGCATTAAGAAAATTAAAAAAAAAATTGGGTTTATAGAAGTGTACACGATTCAATTGACGAATTGTCTAAAAATGTTATACCAGTAGTTAGCAATACTACATGTAAAATGCTTGAAAAAGCAAATGATCAAGATTGAGAAGGCCTTTCGGCACTTGATAGCATAATTGCAACGGGTTCTGATATCTGTCAATATGAACTAAAAAATGTAAAAGAAGTGCCTATTGACAATAGGCAAGAGCATCTTGATTTGTTATGCTTTCCTACTTCATTTCTAACTGGACAATATATGGAGAACATCATCGCAGACAAAGCTATCCAGCACAAACTTCCTTTTAATGAACACATGACATCAAGACTTTTAAACAAATATTCCCAATTTTGTTGAAATCATTCATATTGTCTGCACTATTACGAATTAAAAATTAACAAAGCCTTAAAAACTGGGATGTATAATTTATTAAAAACATCAAAGGGCAACATTGCCCAAACTGTTGCTGAAATATTAGAAAAAAAAAATGTTAGATGAAGAATTTAAGGGCAATTTAAGTACCATGTTGGCTCCAATACGGGGCACAACTGAAATTGGTTTTGTGTGAAAGGTGAAGTCAAAGCAATGATTGCTGAGTATGGCTCACCAACACTTTTCCTAACATTAAGTTGTGCTAAATACGATTCAGCTGATATAGCGCAATATTTAAGAAAAGTGAATAATGCACACAATCATATAGTATTTCCAGATTATGTACGGATGGCCCTGTTTCCGTATTGCTACAATTTTTCATATAAATTTATAGATTTCTTTAACAAAGTCATTCTCCAGAAAGGTGTTCTAGGCAAAGTAGAGCAATATTATGTTACAAAAGAATATCAAATGTGTAGAGCGCCTCATTATGACATCCTCCTATGAATTGAAACTGCTCCTGTTGTTGGTATCGATTGTCTAGAAGAAGTCAGTTCTTTCATACAACATAGAATGACCTATCATATATGTCGCCTGATTTAAATTTTTTGGTAACAAAGTACCAGATGCACAAGTGCAGCAAATATAGCAGAGAGGAGTCTTTCTTTAGCAGAGTATGTAACTGGATATGTCACTAAAGCGGAAAAGAGTCATGCAAAGGACTTATGGGTTGAAGTCAGCAGCTGTGACAACATATACAGCAGGCTTTGGAAAATTGGCCAAAAAGTACTTCGAGCTAAATAAGTAGGACTATATAAAGCTAGCAATCTTCTTCTCGGTGAAAGTTTATACATGAAATCAGAAAACGTACAGTATGTTAATGTGCTAGCCTCATAGGGGAGCAGAAAAGTCAAAAACTATTCATTTTAACTTAAATGGATGAATCTTTAAAAGATATTTTTAATCATAGCATAATTAATGACATATCTAACAAGACCGAATTACACAGAAGATATCTCTTTATGAATTTGTTGCTAATTACAAATTTGATAAAATAGAAGAAAATGGAGAATGAGAATACAAACATCGATCAAAGCCAGTCCTTCCAAACCATAGGAAATTTAATCCTATGCAAGAAGCAGAAAGAGACAATTTTTATTACTCGCTAATATTTTTATTTGTGCCTATTAGAGACGAAAGCACACTCATAATAGAAGGAGAAACAATGAAAGCTTTTAGGCATCACAGAGAAGCATCTATACGTGGCATTAAAAATCATTTCAACAAACTACAGAAAACATTGGAAGCTGAACGTAATTGAAAGAAAATACTCCATGCAAGAAATAAAGCCAGTTTTACAGAAGAACTTTCTGATAATAAGAAAGATGATGAGCCTCAATTTCTGGGTGAAATAATAGAAGCAGTAGCTGATATGCTCATAAATGTACCTAATTTAACATTAATGGCAATGCTTAATGGAGATCAAATAAGAAGTTTTGATGAAATAATGAGTTATCTTATAAGTCAAGAAGAACGTGAAGACTTATTAGAGAATGAGTCTTTAAGACTACTAAGATTAGATAATATGAAACCACTAAGGATGTTTATTAGTGATGTAGGTGGAACTGGTAAATCATTTTTAATAAGGCAATAAAATGCCTAGTGGATGACACATGGTATCCAAAAAGTGATGAAATTATGTGTGCTGTCATAGCACCAACAGGTATAGCTGCATTTAATGAAGGCAGACTAACAATACATAGAATATTTCAGCTACCAATAGAGCATGGGGAAAAGACAGCTGGATATTAGGCTTTGAATAAAGCTCAGAAAAGGATAAAAGACACTTAATATAATAGTAGACTAGGTATTTATGGTAAATCTAGCATAGTTACACATGCCTTTAGAAGACATATTTGTAACTGATGAATGGTTTGGATCCAAAAATATTTTATTTGTAGGTGACCTTTTACAATTGCCACCAGTTAATGGTAGACCAGTATTTAAAAAAATTAGCAACAAACTAGTAAAAACTAGACTTGGAGCAGCAAATGCAGTTAACATATGGAGTAGAATATGATAAACTAACAATCAATGAGTGACAAAAAGGAGACGAAAGTTTCTTTAACATGCTTGATTCTGTTAGGAATGGCTGTCTGACTGATGAAACTATTGATGTGCTTAAGAGTCGCATATTTAAGGTTTCAATACAAGTGAAATATAAGGAATTGGAAAGTGAAGGAACAACTCCTGCAATTTGCCTATTTTCTAAGGTAGACGCCTACCAAAAAATCAATGCATTAATGTAAGAAAGTCTTG